CTAACCCTACTCCTGCCGGGGGGGGGTGGGGGGGAGCATGGAGCCTGTGCCGAGCGAGGTAAAGGAGGCCGGCGGGGCAGAGCAGGGCCCCAGGGCGTGGTGCGGAGCGGGCTGCAGTTGCCGCTGCCAGGAAGCCCGGGCCTGTGTGCGCCCTGCCAGCTGCCACCTCCTGCCGTCCGCTCGGACCTAATGAACGCCCAGGGCTGTGGGAAGAAAGCGGGCAGGTCAGCAATGGCAGTGCCCCCTGCCCGGGCAGCAACCACTCCAGTGCTGCACCGGCCGGGAGCATAGGCTGTCGCAGGGGGCCAGGGGAGGGGAGGCTCAGGGACCTGGAAGGCAGACAGCTAACCACAGGGACAGGGATTGCTTGTGGGTGCTTTGTTTTTAAAATAGATGAGCTACCCCAGGTGGTCCAGTGCATAGACAAGGAGACTTGACCTCCAGAGGCAGATGCCCTCCTGACTCAGACACTGAACCAGCAGAGCCCAGCCGAGGTGCTTTGGCATCCGCAAGTAGAGGGCTCACAGTCACTTGGGGATACAGCTGCCTCTTGGGACCCCTATGCCTACATCATGTGGCCACCAGTGAACAACCTCCCTACTCATTTAAATCTGCTGTCTTACCTGCCAGAGCACATAAAGCTCCTTTGAGAACACATGGAACAGGATGATCGCCAAGTGCCTGGGCAGCGTATGGCTGGAGGTACCTAAGCTTGAATGCAGCTGCTAAGAATTATGATCTGATTTCTCTATGCCTCAGTTTGCCCTTGCACACAAGAACTCTTATGTCACCCCACAGATGTGCTTGCCCAGATTCCACTTCCTCACTGATGAGAAAAGAAACTGAAGCAACAAGGGTTGAGGGGAGAATAAGCAGCAGCAGAAATGGCAGGGCCCATGCCAAAACCAGAAGGGGGCAGGCCAGGAGCTAAGCAACACTCCCGTGAAGGATGAGAATGCTGTGCTGGCAGTGGGTGGTGTGGATGGTAGCTGTTCTGTGTCAATTAGCAGCTCACAATTAGCAGGGGACTTTCCCCTCAATTATGCAGGCGAGGGGGACAGTTTATGCCTTAAACACAATTAAGCAAATCATGACTGGGGCAGGATCCAGCCCCTTCCTTGAGTTAGAGTTTCCAGCTTCCGAAGAGCTGACCGTCTTGCTGCCCAGACTGGTGCTATGCAGCTACTACTGAGGAGTCCTTTTACCCCCAAACCTGCCAGTGCTGCATGTGTAACTATATTCCATCTCACAGATAAACTGATTCCAGGGACAGGTTCAGTCTGAATTACATTAGCATGTAAGAAAGGGTAGCCAGTTTTTAGTGAGTTGAAATGAATCTGCACATGCCCATCAGTGCTGTGAAGATGACCCCAAGTAGAAACAATGGTCATGTCATGACTCAACCTTTCATTCTTCCCTGATTTAGCCACATGAACGTTATTTCAGAGGAATGGGCAGGAATACAGAGAAGCTGGAGTCTGGAAGTGTATAAAATGCCAGATGCAGAAGCCTGTGTGTGAAGGCTGGAACATGCCTTTACGAAGACAGGAACTGGGGTACCTAAGAACTCACTATCTGGTTATAACAGTCTATTTTCTATAGTATACAGCTGCTAGTAGTAATTTTGCCTGATAGCTAATATCCCAGTAAAACAGTGTATACAGTGGAGGAATTTACTCCATCTTATCTTGTGCTTCAGGATAAAATTAGCAAAAGTGGCCAGAAGAATCCTGGAAGCAGCAATTCATCTTGCAGCTGTCAAATCCAGTGCCATTTAGAAACACAAACTTCCAGTTACAACCAGGCAGAGGTTCCCAAACAACACAGTTCACATGACAGGCTCAAGGACACCTGCCCATGACACTTGCAGGTGCCACACACACTTGGCTTCCCACTGGTAAATAACCAAGGGCCCACCTGAAAAGTTAGGAGCAGAATATTTAATGTCATCCACTCTCCAAATGTGCAAGCAGATACAGCAAGCAGCCTGGGGGCAGCCAGGGCTCTGCACAGCAGTGTGGGAGCTGCTGCTTCACACATGGAGACAACCCTGGAGGAAATAACCCTTGCCCTTCAGAGCAGAGCAGAGGCAGAAATTCACATCATGGGCACTGTGTAGTCAGAGGCTGCCAAATGTAATTTTATTATGAAAGTCTGGAATGAACCTTCCTGAGCAGGAATAAGCAGGGGAGTCAGATACTACCAACAGCCTGGCTCCTACTGCCAGCCTGGCCCACACCCACCCTGTCCCACATGGGAGCTGCAGGAGGAATGGGGACAGTGCTGAGTGCTCACTGTGGGCAAAAAACCATGTGGAGAGCAGTGGGTTAAAAGGGCAAAGTAAAAGATCTTACTAATGGTACAAACAAAAAGGTGCCCAAAGGCTACTTCTACCCTCTGCAGAGCCAGGGCTGTAGTCCCACCAGGAGATCCGCTGGGCTGAGCCAGTTGTGAAGGGAAGAGCCTAGCCAGATGGGAATCAGCCGCAGTGTGGTAGGAGGCAGTGCATCAGTGCCTGAGTCATGCAGCCAGAGAAGGCCCTGCATGCAGCTGCAGTCTCTGCCCAGGGTCTCATTCCATGTCATACCATGTGACAGGCAACAGGGTTAAATCTTTATTTTCTTTAGGGGGGGAGCCTGTAGGTCCAGCTTGGATATGGCACTTGCTGTGAATGGGATTCTCTGGCTGATCTTCCCAATCGTCTCCACCTAGACAGAGGAAGTCATAGAACAAAGTTCAGCTAATACCCTCTGCTCTGTGCACCACAGCCATACGCAGCCACACAGGACAGAACACCCAGCTCCCAAAGTACTGCTGTACCCAGTGAGCTAAAATCTCCACAAGACAGTGCCAGCATAGCCAGCAGAACCAAGACACACTACATCCAGCAATGGAACTTATCACTAGGGATCCTGGTTTTCTCTGCTTAAAATCCCAAATCCTCTTACTTAAAACCCCTCAAAATCCATGTTTTTATATAATTAAAATGAAATGCCACTATAATCATAGGCATAATTTGAACACAATGTTTTATTGATATATTTACAATTTTAAAGCAATTTGGAAGCCCATCAGTACCTCAATCATTATAGTAAATTAAATTCAGATACCTATATATTTTGGCATTTGATTTTGGTTATTTCATCATAGAACTCTGCCAGCCTGTAAGGGAAACCCACCGTTTCCCAGGTTTTTTTCCTTTAAAAGAGAAAATCTGTGTTTTTCCATGACAAACAGGAAACCCAGTTCCCTCCTTATCACTCATGTATATCAATGGTCCTCAACCTTTTTAAACTAAAAGACTCTCCCCATCAGACTCAAGACACCCCTCAGAAAATGCCAGCTCTTAGTTTTTGTTCATTTTCTGACTACAGGAAAATAACAGGCTAATTCCTCTGTGGCAAAGAACCAAGAAAGCCCACAACAGGTCAGATTTTTTTTAACATTAGGGTTTCTGTTGGAAATATCTGGGTCTAATCTTGTGACTCGCATTTGCATACCTAACAGTGCTAACATTGTGTGGCACCCTGCAGCACCCTTGAAAGGATCTTAAGGCAGCTGAAGGTGCCACAGGACCCTGATTGAGAACAACTGTGCTACACTAACCTACATGTCCACACATTACACCAGGGCTATCCAACTTCCATGTGGTTGGAAGCCTCACTGTGTGGGCAGCATGCTATGGGAGCAGTCCCCCACCACACTGGGAAGAGACAATCCCAATCCAAAGGCAGTGCCAGTGACATGCAGAATCCTGCAACATGGACAGTGTTGCATTACAATACATTCACCCTTTGCCATCCTCTCAACCCTACCCCACATGACCCAAATCCTGGTACCTCCCAAAGAAGTACTGGAGAGACAAGGAAATACCTGGAAACCTAACTGCTGCAGCCAATCATGCAAACTGTCTAGGATTCTCCTTCCATCAAAGATAAAAGCCGGTTTGAGCATTGCCTTGTAGATTTTCTCATAGTCCAGCTCCTGGCAAAACCACAGGCAGGAGAACTCATTTCAGAGGAAAGGGCTTTGAGATAGAGCTACTGGTCCCACCTGTACCAGGCATCTCATACACTTCTGAGGCATGTAGAAATCAGCCCAGCCAGGACCCCAGAGCTCCACTGTCACCTGGCCCCTAGGTATTCCTTGGAGGTGTTCCCTCACTCCAAAGCTAGTTGCTAGGGGTTGTCTCTTGGATAAGTAAATGCTTGTGCTTGGCATCAATCTCTGTCTTTCCTGAAAGACTCCATTCCTGGGCATACATTAGTAGTTCTCAGCATTAGACTCTGGAGCAGTCATCTCAAATGAAATCTACCAGCCAGCCCAGGCTACCTCTGACAAGATTTTCTACTGACAGACAGCTATGCTGGGTACAGAAATATTCCTATGAATCATCAGGCTGCAGACCTTCGAAAGACCTTGGGGCAAAGGTCAAGAGGTCACAGATGGATTCCAAGGGATCTTACAGGTTCAAGGCTGCCCCAATGAAGGCAGTGCTCTAATTCCAACATTCCACTATGGCACCCTGGCTTATAGCATGGTTAGATCAGCCAGTACCAGTAGTTTACTGCCTTTCAGTCTGGAGGGTCAAGGACCCAATCAGTTTTTGCTCCTGTCACAGAGCAACCCTATGACTCCTTCATGGCAGGGAAAACCATAATACTATCCACATCCTTATGAGTCAGAAAGAACTGGCAGGTCCAAATACAGACCCCTGGGGCAAAAGGCTAGGAGGGTGCTGGGAATAACAGATAGGTCTGGAAGGAACCTCAGGAAGTTGTCCGGTCCTACCCCCTGCCAGGAGGAGCCCAAAGGATGGACAAGTGCTTGCCTGCAGGAGGCTCAGTCAAGGAAAGAAGGAAGCCTTGGTTCGGTGTCATTCAGCACACAAGACCCTGCCCCCCACAGCCAGCATGTGTTAGAGGAGCAGCCAGAAAACAGAGAGCACTCTTCTCTGTTCCAGGCCAGGGGCTCCTCACCTTAAAGATGTCCCACTCAGTGCAGATGGCAATGGCATGGGCATTGTCACAGGCTTCATAGGGATCTGAAGCGATGGAGACCAGGCTCAACACTGCGAGACACACACACACCCACACACCCACCCACACACCACCACCACCACCACCCCGCCAGGGCAGCCACCCTCAGAATGACTACAGGAACTGTGCCAAACCCCAGAAGACTACCTCAGTTTGCTACTCATTATATAGCAAAACGTAAAGAGCACTAGGGGCTCCCACTGAAGAGTGAGGGGTGTTATGGGGGCAGTCATAAAGAAGCAGCAGGCTCACAAAGATCTCTGGTATGGGAAGCACAACAGGATTAGACACTAACTGGGCTATCTTGAGAGTATTATGCTTTCCAGAGGCTGGACAACCGTGGGGCAGACACCTGGCCCTACCTCTCTCCGGGCCATCCATAGAGGTGCTAGAGTGGGACAGGTCTTGCATGATCTGCTCTTTCTTCACTTTGGGATCATAGATGTGCAGCTGAGCTCCCTCATCCATCAGGTACTTGCTGATGTGGATGCTGGAGGACTCCCTGAAGCAGGAGAGAACTCACCCTGCAGCTCCTGGCACAGACAGGTCCCACTGCCCCAGAAGCGCCCCCTGGAATGCCATGGCAGAGACTACTGCATTTCTGCCCCGGAACACAGGACATTTCTCCCTGAATGGGGATGGAAGGAGCAGTCAGGTTCAATGTAGACCACCATGGGGCAGGTACAAACTAAGGGCAAGGAACGGGAATAGCAGAGCAGGGAGTCAGGGTTTTGGGCTCTTGATTTTCCATTATTTCCAGAAACCTGAGAAACTTGCTACATGTGTGACTGCACTGGTCTATATCTGTCGGAGGAGGAATACCTCCAGCTTGGCTGCTGCTTCTTACATCCAGTGCCTGTTGGTCACTGCTAAAGGAAGGGCTGAGCTGGGCGGTTCCTGCCTGAAAAGAGCCCCAAAGATAGAGACCTGGAGATGCTGGCCTCCAAATGGAATCCACTAATCTGCACAGTGTCCTAGGCTCCTATTATAGGCCCAGCTCAGGTTAGGGGAGTCAGCAGTATAGGAACCAGACTCTCTCCCCTGAAACATAGCTGGCCTGGGAGTGATGGGCTGCCAATGGCACCCAGGGAGGCAGCTTGGCCACCAGGGGACACAACCTGACCCACTTTTCTACATGTCCTACTTTCCTGTCGCCTGCTCCTGACAGTAGCACTCAGATCAGCATGGTGTAGCCCCCAAATCCACAGGCACCTCAGCAGGCAGCTCCTCCACAGTGTGTTCTGCAGCCTCTCTCTACTTTGTTGACAGGCTCTGTCAGCGGGTACCTGGTGTCTCCTGTGTCCTTCTTGAAGGCAAAGCCCAGTAGTGCAATTTTCTTGTCCGTGACTGTGTTGAAGAGGCAGCTGATAATGCGGGAAGCGAACATCCTGTGTTGATACTCATTGATTTCAATCACCTGGCAGAAAACGCCCTGTTGGGGTAGCCCAAGAGCTGACCCCACCCCACCTCATCCTGCCACGCTGAAGGGGGAAGGAGGCAGTCTTTCCCACAGCAAGGCCCTAAGGCTGCTGGCTCAGCCTTTGGTTGGAGCGACAGCACCCTTGTTCTTGGCAAAACATGCACGGAAAGCCTGTTCCTACCAACCCTCAGCCCCAGCATGGAGGAGTCTCCATAAATTAAATCCTGACAACCCAGCCTCTGTGCTGCCCCAGCACATTACCTGCTGCCAGTATTGAGCCACCTCAGGCAGGTTGAGTGTCTCACAGAGGTAAACCAGGTTGAGAACATTCTTCTGGAAACAGCTGCCCCCAAAACCTGCCCAGAAAAGAGATGGCACAGTTAGCACAGGCCTAGACCTGACCAAGACAACCTCCAGTCACCTTTGCGGGAGGGGTAGGGCATGGAGTGACTGCCTTTGGCCAGCACCTATGACTGTGGGCAAAGAAGTAGAATAGGTGAACCAGGATGACACTTCACACAGTGTCTAAGGGTGAGGGCGTATTTATACCCAGCATTGGTGTTGATCTAGTAAAGGAACACCTTGAGAGGCTGGACACCTTCAAGTCAGCTGGCCTTGACAGTCCTAGAGTACTCAAGGAGATGGCAGGTGTCTTAGCCCAACCACTGGCAAAAATATGCGAAAACTTGTAGTGCTCAGGTGAAGTACCTGAAGACTGGAAGAAGGACAATGTGGTACACATCTTCAAGAAAGGGCAAAAAGCAGATCCCAGGAATTACAGGCCCATCAGCTTGATCTCAATCCCCATTAAGATTCTGGAGAAAATTATCAAAGAGACCCTTCTTGATAAGTTGGCTGAGGGCAACATCCTGAGGAACAGCCAGCACGGGTTTGTCGAGGATAGGTCTTGCCTGACCAATCTCATCTCCTTCTATGACCAGGTGACATATCACCTGGACAAGGGAGAAGAGATTGACATCGAAGGTTATTTTAAAGTCCAGATATATGATCTGGTGTCTCATGATCTCCTCATGGAAAAATTGACCAACTGTGGCCTCGGCTACACCACAGTCCGATGGCTGGGAAACTGGCTCCGAGGTCGGACCCAGAGTGTAGTAGTAGATGGCAGCAAATCATTATGGTGCTCTGTGACCAGTGGTGCCCCCCAAGGCTCTGTCCTTCAACTGGTTCTCTTCAACATCTTTATCAGTGATGTGGACATTGGTGTCAGAAGCGCGCTGGCCAAGTTCGCCAATGACACTAAATTTTGGGGCATAGCATCCACAACGGAGGACAGGCTAGTGATCCAGGCCGACTTGAATAAACTTAGTAAGTGGGCAGATACAAACCTGATGACGTTCAATACTGATAAATGCAAGGTACTCCACCTCAGGGAAAAAACCCCCCACAGCATGCTTATAGGCTCAGCAGTGCTAAGCTCACTAGCACCACAGCTGAAAGAGACTTGGGGGTCATGACTAAGCACAAGATGAACATGAGCCATGAATGCAATGTTGCAGCTGGTAAAGCAAACAAAACTCTGGCTTGCATCTATAGATGCTTCTCAAGTAAATCTCAGGATGTCATCCTTCCACTGTACTCAGCCTTAGTGAGGCCGCAGCTGGAGCACTGCATCCAATTCTGGGCTCCACAATTCAAGAAGGGTGTCGAGAAGCTTGAGAAAGTCCAGAGAAGAGCCACGTGTATGATCAGAGGGCAAGAGAATAGGCCTTATGAAGAGAGGCTGAGAGCCACTGGACTTTTCAGCCTGGAGAAGCACAGGCTCAGGGGGGACCTGGTGGCTGCAAGTACATAAGGGGTGTGCATCAGGATCTGGGGGAACATCTGTTCACCAGAGCACCCTGAGGGATAACAAGGACTAATGGTCATAAACCCCTCCAAGACCGTTTTAGGCTGGACATGAGGAAAAATTTCTTTACTGTCCGAACCCCCATGAGGAAAAATTTCTTTACTGTCCGAACCCCCAAGGCCTGGAATAGACTCCCTCCAGAAGTAGTGCAGGCACCTACTCTGGATTCATTCAAAAAACGTTTGCATGCTTATCTTGCTGGGATCCTTTTACCCTAGCTGACTTCCTGCCCCTGGGCAGGGGGCGGGACTTGATGATCTTCAAGGGCCCTACCAGCCCTAATGCCTATGAAATGTATGAAATCTATCATGCCTGCGAGACTGAGAGTGGTAGAAGAGGACAAGAGGAGGTGGGTGGGTGGGATTGGTAGCAGCAGCAGTGATGCTGGAGTCTGCCTCCCACTCCAGCTGGGGCTGATATCGTGGAGTGGCTCCAGCGACTCCAAAAGGAATCCAGCTGGCTCCCCCCTCCAGCCAAAGGCTACAGCACACTCCAGAACCCATACGCTCTTCAAGTGGTACTGGAAACTCAACCCTACCGTCCTCCAACTGCTTGCCAGCAGGCAGCCACTGGTCAGAAGCTTACTGTGCTGCACAGATTGTGATCATGTGACTACAACAGTCACTTTGCCAGACTAGCCACCAGCACCCCTGAGAACCATGAAAACACTGCCCAGGTCACCCAGTCCTGGTCTTACTGACTAGTGCTCACCTGCCTTGGAAACAGGCACCAGAAAGCAGAGCAAGAGATAAAGGAGGAGGACGGGCAAACTGCAACAGGGGTGAGGAGTCCCCCATCCTCCCCCAGACGCATGCTTCCTCTGACTCCCTAGAGCCCCATGTCCCAAGCGTTCCTCAGAAAGTAGCCTGGAGGGGAGCTATACACAGAGCAAAGAGAGGGCTGGATGGAGTCACTGAACCACAAAGCTGGAAGGGACCATGGAAGAGCAAGGCCGCCTAACCAGGAACCTTCAGGCTTTTTAGACCCAACAGGAGCACTGGCAAACCTCAGTTCAAATCTTGTCTTGGCTGCAGTCAATACCCAACACTTCTGAGGAAGCTGGAAAAAAATGCCTCTAATTCCTATAGCAACGGGAAGGGAAAAAAAATTCCTTCCCTGCCCCATATAGCAATCAGCAAAACCCAGGAGCGTAAGAAAAATCAAGCACCTTGCACTCAGCTCTGCAACCTGGGGACCCATCACACTCCCTAAACTCCCTTTTCTGTCAGCCTATTCCCTCCATAAACTTCACCCAGCTTCTTTAATCTTCTTTCATAACTCAACTGGTTGTGGAGCTCTGCTTCATTCTCCTGCTGCTGAGTAGTCCTCTCGTTTCCACCTGTCCTGGGCTTCCAACTGTTGCTCTTTCAGTACATTGCAGACATAGCTGCTCAGGGGCAGATACAGGATTTGACAAAGGTGAGTACAGGAGCAGCCACCTGTGCTGCAGGTGTGGCTGCACCTATGCTCCCAGCTTCTCCCCCTGCACTTCACCAACCAGTGCAGGCAGACTGAGCTGAGGGAGTTGTTTTTACAGTCCAGGTTGTGTGGGGCTGGGCTCAGCTAGACAGCTGCAGCAGTGATGGGCAGAGGGATGCGTTTCCCCACCTTCCTCAGTCTGCCAGGAACAGGCATGGGAAAGGGGACTCCCCCACCCACTGCCCCTACTGCTGCTGCTTCTGCTCTTTGCAGCTGAGCCCAGCCCCCACACAGCCTGTCTGAAGTGGGCAGGAGCAGCTTTGAAGCAGTAGTCCCCCCAGAGGTAGGGACAATCTTGGGGATAGCTCTGCCAGATCTTCAGTCAGTGCAGATGTAGTTAGGGATCTTCGGGAAGGGCTGGACATTTTTAAATCTGCAGGTCCAGATGCCCTCCACCCAAGAGTGTTGAGGGAACTGGCAGGGGTCATCGCGGAGCCCTTGGTCTGGTTATATGAGCATTCGTGGTCATCTGGCCAGGTGCTGGGATATTGGAAACTGGCTAATGTGGTCCCAATTTTCAAGAAAGGGAGGAAGGAGGACCCAAATAACTATAGGCCTGTAAGCCTCACCTCGGTGCTCCGGAAGATCTTGGAGAGAATCAAGGAGCACATCTGCAGG